AAGATGATAATAACATTGCCGCACATACTCTGGAAAGGTCTTTAAGACAGATAGAAGATGCGTATGCCGAGTGTAAAATTGCAAACGATGACGTTTTAGATTTAGCAGACCATGACACTTCAGAAAACGCTATAAAATTTGCTTCACAGATACAATGCCGGCTCGATGATATGACTGAGAAGCTCACGTCGTTAATCGGTCCAAAACATGATAAAATAGCAAAGAGAGAGACCTGCCCGTCCTCCAACCTTCAGTTAGAAAAATAGAATTGCCGCGATTTGAAGGAGAAATTTGCGCTTATCTACAATCCAAACGAGACTTTAAAAAACAGATCATGCCGCATCTCCAAAGCGAGGATGTTTCCTACGTACTACGTTCATGCTCAAGGCTCACTAGCGCATAACCACTAGCACAAGAATAAGCACAAGAATAAGCACAAGAATAAGCACAAGCACAAGCATAAGCAAGTGAGAACACAGAACATAAGCATAAGAGCATACGCAGGCGCAGTATCAACAAATTTTTCGTTACCAGTCTTCCTCGACTATAATCAAGATGGCGGATGAAGATGAAATCTTTCTCTTTGCGTTGCTTGTAATTTACCTTTTTCAGAAGATCCATCAGACCTAGAAGGTTTTGGGCAAGGGAGATATATCGTTGCAAGAAAGCTCAAGGGGAGTTCAATTACCTTGTTTCGGAACTTCGTGGTAGTGACAGAGAGCTTTACTTTCGGTAAGCGAACTTTAAAAGTCTGCTGAAAAACTAGTGTAAAAGGCTTACTTACGCTCCGAACATTATTGCGTCTAGCGTTTTGTTATTTTGCAGGCAAGTTTTTGTTTGTAATTTGACTTAAAGAAAAGCCCTGAAAATAGCATGAAGATATAAACTTGATAAATATATTTTTTGCCTCAGTACTGTGTTACTTTGTATATGCTACAGTAAATTTTTAATTCCAACTTTAGTTCAACATGATGTTACAAGGGCACGCTCGAAATATTATTGTTTAAATATAAAGTTTAGTCATTGGTTCATTGAATGATTATTGGTCTCATATTAGTTACATGAGAATGTCACGAGTATTTTGATTGCCTCCTTTCCAAGGTTGGCCCACTTATAAGAAGCAAGCTATAAAATTCACACAGCCTATCTCACCATCAGAACGTCTTGCACTGACCATACGTTATTTGGCTTCTGGTGACAGTCAACAATCCATGTCCTTTTCTTATTGAATATGGAATATCCATAACCAGCAATTTCAACCCCTTCTAGATTCTAGAGTGATATCTCTGAGAGAGGT